AAATTTGTTAAGAGCAGCTTCAAAAGCTACATGAAAATTAGGGTAAAAATCACTTGGATTAAAATTATGAGAAATTAACCAAAATCAGAAGAATTACAATTGCTTTGTAAAAAAGATAAAGATGGAAAAAAATTTTAATAAAATAGTAAGATATTCACCTTGCGTTACAAAAATATAAATATATCGAGAACCTAACCGATTTTAGATATAATTCTTCACGTTTTCTGCTTTTGATACATACTTCTGCAGAAAATCATCGTCCTTGTTAAGTGGTTTTAGTTACGTCAAGTGTTTTTAATTACGTTAAAGGCTTTTACTTTAATCAAATTGTCAAAATAGCCCTGGTGAGATAACTAGCTTTAGTCAATACTTTAGCTACGTCAATGACTAAAGTCAAAATTTTCGTTGTAAATCATTAGTCAAAGGTCATACTGCCCTATTCCTTTGTATTAGTCCTGGTAATGATTGTGGAAAAAAATATTCAAATTTGCCTCGAATGGAAAGATCACCAAATTTTTATTATAATCAATTTTTTCAAAAAAAATTCAACATGCATTCAACATTATATCTATTTTTTAACAAATCAACAAAAGATTACAACATATTGAAATGCGTCAAGAGGTTTGTTAGGTGGTATAAAAGCAAAACACAAATATCCAATTCTTGATAAACCAACAAACGATCTTACACAACAACAACCACAAAAAAATCAGGTTTCGAAATTTGGCAATAGATCTCGTCGCTCCTTTAAACCAAATGTCCAAATTATATTCTGTGGCTCTTGATGAACGTATAAGAATCAAGTGTACTACAACAGCTCTAAAACATATTGATTTAAAAGGTGGTTTGGATAGATATTTGTTGACAATGAAGGATGACAAGTTAGGTAAAAAAATGTATGATTTGAAACTTAAATTATGGATAGACTTGAAGAAGAAAAGAAAAGGCTGCAGAATTAGATGTGAGATTATTGGATAGTGGTAACAATTAGGATGAAAGGATGCAATTAAAGCTTTGTTATAATTTGATTATAATAATTATTATTTATAATATAGAATTATTTCGAAAATAATAAAATTTATATTATATATATATATATATATATAATATTTATGCAAAATACATATTAATTTAGTAATCAATATTTAATCCAAAAAAGGAAGATCTACTACTGGTTGAAGATATCTGGAAAATACTAGTATGGACCAATATATGTGTTGAATTAGGAAATTTCACAAGTTAACAGGATAGTTCAATATAAAAAGCATATTTAAAGTCCTTAAAATCAGTTTAATAAGTTCATCATACAGCATCTTCATGTTGTTTTTATTGAAAGATCACACTGCAAAATACTTAACATAGAAATTGAATTATCCATGAATAATAAGAAAACAACAGTTGTTATTCAGTATGAGTTGATAATTCAACCAATTAACAACAAAATGTACCATAGGCATTTAACATGATAGAGAGCCAGTATAATGTATCATATAACGCACACCCAATAATTTATAACATACTAAGGATTTGGGAAAAAAGTTTCAGAAAAGAATAATCAAAAAAATAATGTGAACAATATTAATTAAAACAACTAATCTTTAAAAAAAAAAGTATTGTCCATCTCACCTCTTTTTAACAAAATATACACTATAAAAGTGATTCTAGATGAAGACAAGTTTCTTCATAGAAGCACACCTGAAAGAGCATAAATGCCTTGATATATGTATCGCACTTTATGCCTGGGATGTCGATAATATTGTCATACTCTGTAATTGTAGAACATATTAGATAGTTGATTTTTCGATTGCGAGTATTGAAACTATTCGTTAGCAGTAGAAGAAATAACGATCAAGATCAATGGTAAATACGATCCGTGAGCAAATTTAGTTAGAAAGGAGATAATTAGAGGGAGAGTATATTCATTAAATTGGTAAAAATTCATTCTATCAAATTGAATTCCTGAAATAATGATTATAGGTATTTTGATCATGATTTTAACAACCTCCCTAATTCGCAAGAAAAGTATAAAGGAGCCTTCCTTCTTGGAAGAATCTTTTGGAAGAAAGATGTTAAAATAATACGATTTAAAAAAAAATAAAAAATGATTAGCATAGAAAAAATTAATGGTAAGGATGTGTTGATTCCAATTCTTGATACTTCAGCCCATCGACTATTTACTGATATGGGTAACAAAAAAAGCGATTATCACTAAAAGCATTTACGGAATATGGAATGGATATCTTCTCACAAAAGTAAAACATACAAAATGTTCATCATGTCATCACCATTTTAGTCCAAGAATTTATTACAATAATAATAAAACAGCAGTAACAAGTTTCCTTATTTATAAAAATTATGAATTTTTTACGATTTTACTAAGATTTATTTCTATAAATAATAATATTAACGGATAATTTTTGGAAAGAAAATCTCCGCATTATCTGCATGAATGTGTGACTATGTAACTGTTAAATTAATCAATCAATAAATAAATAATAAATAATAAATAATAAACTCAATTTATTAAAATTCTATTGAAAGAAAATATTTTTCTCTTTGAAATAAAAAAAAACTCGAGAATTAATTTATAATATAATAATAATAATGGCCACTGCTAATAATAATGACGCTGGTTCTAAAGATTGGCTTAAAGAAAGAGCTGCTATATGTAAGTGTAAAATTAGATATTTGGTGAAAATTGAACATCTAGCTGGTCAAAGGTTCCCAAACAAAATATAATAATAATTTTAAAATTTATTTTACTCTATCAAATAATTCATAAAATAATATTATTGTATATAAATAAATTTAATCTAAATTCTTTTCCTTTTTAAAAAAATAAATAATTAAAAAGCTGCCGCCCATCGAAGACAAAAGACTGACCCGTCAGCATCAAAACTTGTTAACCAATTACACAAAGAACGTATTCAAGGAAATGCCGAAGAAACAGGTAAAGTATTATTATTAAAGCATCATTAATTGTGAAAAAAGCGATGGCAGAAGCTAATTGTATTATATACATCGGCGGCGAATTAATTAATTGACTTGTTGATCGATTGGTTACGATTATATAGTTGATGAGGAATATGAAGATCTTGATGCAATTGCTAGTGTGCCACCTCCTGAAGAAATAGTTGTCAAAGGTAATTATTTATTAGCTAATTAGTTAACTTGATTAATTAATTAGCCAATTAATTCACCAATTCGCCAATTGATCAATCAATCAATCGGTAATGGTATTAATAGCATTTTATATGCATATAAAAAATTAATAAAAGTTTTTTTATTGGGTGTTTTTTTGGTTGGGTGAAAAAGTTGCACCAAAAGAAAATACAATCACTACACTTCATGGCAAAGAGACTAGTGAAGATGTTTATCAGTCATTTATGAAATCAGTTTTGGAAGAGGGATTAGCCACAGAATCTTCATTGGAGTTATCATTTGATTTAAAACCTGAAGACATTAAAATAAAAGATCTGTCTGAGGATGAGGAGGTTGAAGAAGAGGACGAAAATGAAAATGAAGGTGACGGTGAGAAAGAAGATGAAAATAACAAATCAATTAGAATTGAAAATAAAAATGAAGATGAAGGCGAGAATGAAGATGAAAATGACGAATCAACTAAGACTGAAAGTAAAAACGAAGATGAAGGTGAGAAAGAAGAGAAAGAAGATGAAAGTAAAGATGTTGATATTGATGTTGAGATTAATAATGGTTAGTGGAAAATATTATTTAAATTAAAGTATTCACAAACTTTTAAATTTTGTCTCTCTTTACTAATTAAATAAAATTATATTCACTAAATAATTACATATTCATATTAATCAATAAATAAATAAGAAACAAAACCACTGCCATCATCATCTAATGATTTATCAGAGATAGAATCTGAAAATAAAGAAATAAATAATAATGATGTTGGTGATCAAAATGATTGAATGAATAAGAAAGAGAATGTAGAGGGAGGGGTGAAATATTGTAAATTTATTATATTATATTATATTATATTTTTGTCAAATATTAATTATACTATTATTATTATTCATTATTTTAGAAAAAGAGAATAAATAAATATTTAAGTCTTTATATATATATAGTATATAGTATATAGTATATAATTTATTATTGAAATATCATCTATCTAAAAATAAAATAATTTATGACAATCATTTGAAATTTTAGATCAAATTTTATTGTAACAATAAAATGTTACAAGCTCAAGAAATCTTTATATTTATCTTATCCCAAAATTTTTTAATAATATTTGAAAATTTTCTGCCAATTATAAAAGGATCAGCAATTAATGTGTACACGTCGATCAAATAACAATCCTTTTTTTCTTTTTTAAAAATGGCATCAAAAAACCTAAAGAAAAGTGGAAAAAGAAATAGCTGTTATTTCTGGGTAAGTGTTTTAAGGATGGTGGTGGTGGTTATTTCCACTTGTTGTCACACTAGTTATTTATTGAAATAATGATGATGATAGTTGTTTGCAACTCGTCATCATTCTAGTTTGTTTTTTTTTTGGTAAAAAGTGATTTTGAATTAATGATAATTGATTTGTATATTATTTTTAGTAGCAAAAAAAGCAGATGGGATGTGGTGTGTTTGTCTACAAAATCAGGAAAGAGCAGATGGGATCTGGTTACAAAAGTTCATGACCCCCTTGAAGCAGCAATAAGAGAATATGAAAGTTGTTTACCTGCTATAATAAGAAAAAATATTATGTATTGGTAAGTGGCAAGGGCTCCCTCAATAATGGTTCATCATGTGTTGTCAAAAAAGTCAAATGAAATGGCAGCTCTGATGGTACCATGTATGCTGCAAAGATCATAGAAGTCAATATATTCAATGATTACAATATCCCCAAGTACACACCCCTACAAAAAGTATCAACTCACTTGATGATCTGTCAAAATAATCAAATAAACGGGTAATACAAATACTTGTTTTTTTACTAAGCAAATCGATGTTGTGTATTAGTAAGAAAATGTTTGTTGAAATGACCATAACACTCTAAAATATCACATTGGGCTAATTGTTATTGATAATTTTATGATTTTAAAAGTCAAATTAAAATTTTTTGAAAATTTTTTTGTTCTCAAATGTATATATATACACATTCATAATTATTGATTGAATATTCATGGAGCATTAATACAAAATGTAAAATAATGAAAAAATTATCATCAACAGTTTGTATAATATTTTTACATAATAAATCTTTATTAAATTTATATCAAAAGTATCAAAAAAGTATAAATATTTCATTCATTTATTCAATATTTTGTCAGGTTTCCTTTTGATTCAATTACAGCTTGGACCCTTTGAGGAATGCTGTCTACTAATTTTTGCAAATAATCACAATCAAGATTTACCCATTAATCCATTAAATAAGAAATTAATTCATTTGTATTTTTTTGGGGAGCAATAGTAGTTTGATCTTAAATGCTTTTATTGCATGAGTTACTTGTGACTGAGAATGATTGAGTGCACCAGCAATGTCGCAAATGCTTTCATCTGCTTCACAACATCCAATATTCAAAGTCTGTTAATTGAGACATGATTTTTTAATTAAAATAACAAATTGAAAGTTCAATCTTTTTTTTTTAAAAAAAATCTAGTTTTGGTTGATATTTCAGCTGCAATTGCCCTTTAAAGTTTGTTCACGCATAATGATAATTGTCTTGCATAAAAAATTCATTCCAATTTTTTTTACGTTTTGTATTAATGCTCCATGAATATTCAATCAATAATTATGAACGTGTATATATATACATTTGAGAACAAACGGAACAACATTTTCTAAGTTTACAAGATGTGTTAAAGCATTGTATCTTAAAATAGCTCTAAGTGCTACTTTTTTGAAAAATTTTCGAAAAATTTTAATTTGACTTTTAAACATCATAAAATTATCAATAACAATCATCCCAATTTGATATTTTAGATTGTTATGGTAATCATTTCAACAAACATTTTCTCACTAATACACAATATCGATTTGCTTAGTAAAAAAACGAGTATTTGTATTACCCGTTTATTCGATTATTTTGACGGATCATCAGTGAGTCGATACTTTTTGTAGGGATGTGTGTGTATGTATATTTTTTGTAACATCACGTTTTATTTCACATTGATTAATAAAATAAAAAAATAAATATATATTTCATGGCCTTCTATTTATTTCGGTTCCAAAAACTAACATTTATTACGTATATTATTGAGAAAATACCTTTAAAAATCAAAACTCTCACAATACTCACAATCGCAACCAAATGAGTGTAATGGTAAAAAATATTGTAATTCGTTGTATTATAGTATAGTAATACAATTCATTTTCTATCTATAGTATTTCTTATAATTTTAATTTTCGAATTGGCTTTTTTAAAAACCGAAACCGAACTGGAAATTTAGCCATAAAGAAGAAGTGGAGTAGTGGGAGGAAAATTGTATGTATAATTTCAAGATTATACTAATTTTATCAAATAAAAATAAAACATTGTCTTATTTTCTTTGTTTGATAAAAACAACTAATGCAGTGGAGGTAACAATTGTAAAGCTTTAGTAAAAATCCACATTTTATTTGCCTCAGAGAGTAAAACTAACTAGTGGGGTGTTAACAATAGTTAATGAAGTATTCTCTGTAAATTGAAAATATTGTGTAATTGTAAATGTAAAGAATTAACAAGTTGCTTAAGTTGTTTTGTAGTTTATCATTGGCCAAGAAATGTATACAACTGAAATAAATTGGTCACAAGTGAATATAGAAACTTTATAGAAACCTTTAAGCTTCGTAAAAGGGCCTTATCTGTACCATTAAGTGTGCTTACAGATTTTTAGGTAGAAGAAAGAGGCAATAGGCGAGAATCAAAGTAACTTCACAAACTAATCCAATTGTCAAGCACTGAATCATTACAATTAGCTGAATAGAGTAGCCCAAAAATCAGTGTTAACCAAATGGCTATTATTTAAAAAATTGTAAAAAAATTATTATTTCAAAATATTATAATTTAGCTTTAAGAATAAATAAAGATAAATGAATAAATTAGTCATTCATCAATCTTTCTTTTGCTATTATTAATTAAATATGAATAAAAAATATATTAACCGTTAGTGTTGAAGAGACCAGTGCCAACAATGAAAAAGTGCCAACAAAAAATAGACTAATGACTTTTTATTTATTTATGCAATGTGATGTGTACACAATATACATCCACTCTCAAATGTTAAAAATGATAATCAATAATTTCATATGCCTAAATTTGCTATCTGTTACCACGATAGTATGAAAATGTCAGTGAACAAATATAATAAATATTTTCATTTGCTATGGCTATTTAAACAATTCTTTGATTTTTGTGAAACAGTAAAATCCTTTTTGAAATAATCATTTATTATGTTGTACAGCAAACAAACCATTTTCTATATACCTAATACTAAAAAAATGCTTAATTTTCCGCCTGAACTCCTAACTGAAACATTCAAATACATTGAAGATAATGACTATAAAACATTATATTCTTGTATTCTTGTCAACAAACAATGGCACAATATTAATATTCCAACTTTATGGAAGGATCCATTTCTTTGTGAAGACTGCATCAAAATTATAATTAATTGTTTATTGAAAGAAGAAGATAAGGATTTCTTGACTATAAATGACATTGAATTAAATTTTGAATTATTGGAGAAACCACCATTATATAATTACACTAGATTTTGTACTAGACTTGTTTCTTTCAATTATTATATTATTAAATTTGGATGGCTAATAAAAACCATTTATGTACCAAACTGTGTAGAAATTTTACAAAATAGATTAGTAAAATTTATTTTAGATCATTCAGCAGGTATTAGAGAGTTTAGTCCCGGATATATACCTCATAATTTGTTAATTAATCATCATATATTTGATAATATCTTTCAGGATCTTTATGAATTACAATGTGATAATTTTGTTTTCAGTGGTGAGTTGTTTGATGAATTAACAAAGATTTGTAAAAATATTCAATCATTAAAAATATCTTATGGTAATAATAAAAATAAAGATGCTCATAGTTTAGCACAGCTAATTAAGGCACAAAAGCAAATTAAATATTTAGTAATTGAAACATGTAGAATTTTATCAGGTGAAAATATTATACCAGTTAAATTGAAAGAAGCAATATTAACACATTCACAATCAATAACCTTTTATGAATCTACTAGTAAAAGAAAAAACTCAGACAATTCATTAATAACATCATTTAAAAATTTAAAGACTTTATCAAGATTTAGGATTTTTAAATATTTAAAAATATTTCATGTAATTTTTATTTTATTTATTATTATATATATTCATTTAGTTATACAATACAATATATTTATTATTTCATGTTGTATTATGTGCAATGTTATCTGATACTATTATTTGTAGTTGTAAATTAATGGCATGAGGTTGTTTTTCTCAAATTACAGTCTTGATGGTTACTAATCACATATATCAAAAATTAAACAATGATTATGAGCTCTATTGTTAAATGGTGGATGACCTGCAAATATTTCCCATATTAACATCCAACACTATAAATATCAGATTCTTTTGTGTTCTTTTTGCCTCTAAGTAGCTCAGGTGCAATATACAATACAATCCCATAGACTTTATTTGATGATTTTCCATCAACTGGTCCACATAATCCTAAATCTGTATATGACAATTACCTCTATCTATTAATAGATTACCACTATGTAAATCACAATGGATTAAATCTTTTTCATGTATAACAAGTAATGCATTACATAAATAATAAAAGATTGTAATTCTGTCTTTTAATGTTAAATTTAAATGGTTTTTTTTGTAAATAATCCCTTAAATTTCCCTCTGATAAATAATTTAAAACAATTGCATGGTTTCCATTATTTGGGAATTTAGTTATACTATAGTAAGAAACAATCATCCCTGATTTAATTTTAAAATAATTAATTGCCTGAAAATAAATAAAATAAATTAGTATTGTATAATGCAGTATTGTTTTAAATGACAACTACCAATCTCATCAAAAAAGCCTTTTTTTAAATTACTTGAATCATTTAAACTTTTCAATGCTACTTCTTGCTCTCCAAAATAACTAAATTCCTTTTTATTTTCATCATAATCAATTATTCTTCCTCTTATCCATATAGCAGTATAAATTGAACTGAATCCACCTTCAGTTAACTTTGCTATATGATAAAGTTGCTCATAAGGTACCCATCCTAAAATATGTTCTGACAAAAATGATTTCATTTGACATTGTTGAATAAAATCATCAACTATGTTATTTCCAAATGCCCAAATGGTAAAAGGATTCTGTAGTTGTAAGCTTATGCAACCTTCACAGAATCTATCAGAGTATCTTATTGATTTACGATTGTTATATTCTTTTGGTTTTATCCTTTTATCTTTTGCATTTCTTAATTCAAACTTATAAATAAACCTTTACTAAATTCATTTTCATTTTCAGAAAGCTCCTTGTTTTTTTTGACTAATAAGAAAAAAATAATCTTTCTTTTTTTTATGATGAAAGAATTAACCATTGCATCATTACACATTTCATTATAAATTCTAGATACAAATTCCTCTCTTTCTGGTGTTAAGAAGTTGGTACGTGACATTATAAATGTTTTATAAGATTTAAAATTTGACTTGGAGTAGAGAAAACGGGGGGGTTTTTTTTTTGAGTACAACACTAATTTGTTTATTTATTATTTATTTTATT